CTCGTTTCTGAGAGGCCGGAACGGGAGAAGGCTGGTGGTACACCTGATTTATCTGCGTGTAGTTTTGTGTGTTTCTGATCTTGAAGAATATGCGAAAGGAGACACTCGTGCAAACATCTTCGCGGGGATTTTTTTGCCCAAGCTTTTCTGTGATACGATCTTAACGTTGTTAGTTCAGTAGGCTGATACGCGGCACTGTGCTTCCTCAGGAAGACTGCATTTCAGCTAGAGGGAGCACACAAAAACTGGAAGATAGGGGATAGGCTGTGTTTGAAGGGTGAAGGGTTATCCTGTTGAGAGGTTGTGCCTCAAGTGTATCTTCTGGGTGTGTGCTTGCCAAATGCAAGGCCGAGATAGTGGAAGAGGAGATGATTGGCGGGTAATTTGGAAGGAGAAAAGCAACTTGAGTGGGAACACATCTGTCAGAATAGAAATCGGTCAAAATCCAAACATGAAATTGGAAGTTTATTCTCTTGTGTGGAATACCAGAATAGTTCATAGAATGCTCTGATATGAACTCACTTTGTGTGCTGTGTTTTTCTTACACCATGGCAAGATCTTGACAGCTGTAGACCATGTTCCTGGGCAGTCTTATGCCCAAATGCAGCTATACGCACATGCAGGATAAAGTTCTGTTTTTCTGTGATGTCTCTCATAAGGTGTTTGTAATGCACCTAGTATCAGATTATTCTATATTTAAGTTAAGGTTAATATTCTGCAATTAGCTTGCCATTGCAGACCTCAACCTGTAGCAGTCTTAAAAGGGCATGAAACTGCTGGTTAGCATTAGAAGTGACGAACTCTGTACAGGTAGAATTAGTTTGCATGCCTCTGCTATTTCAAGACAAAGAGCAAAGAGAAATTTTGGGGGAATGTCAAATGAGAGGGATCAAGGGGAGGAAATGGATAAAGACTCTGAATCGGAAGGCATAGGGTAGATCCTTATGCAGACTTTTGGGGAAGAAGATACAAGTGTAAAGGAAAGGTGAAATAAGTTGAACTTGGAGAGGTTTGAGCAAGTCAGTTCTGTAATACGTCCTGAAGTTGAGTGTTCTGTGCAGATAGGGGGATTTCTAAATTGGTTTATACTGATGTGGATTCCTTGGCTTACCAGTTTAAAAATGCTGTGAGAGTTCTTTTGATCTGCCAATGTCAGCCTGATGTAAGAAAACTAATTCCTAATGTAATGTCTGTGTATAGACATACAGATGCTTATTTGTAGATATTCTGACTTTCACATGCACAAATATTTAGAAAAAACAAAGATTGTCATAAATTACCATCATCATCTTGAGATTTGCTTTTCCATTCCATTGGATGTATTTATATGTGTGTGTTGGAGCTGCTGAAAAATCTGCGTGAAAAATTATCTCTTATTTAATACAAGTATTGCTGTAAGCAATATAATACATTTTTCATAAATTGTTAATGCTACAGTCCAGTCTATTCTAAGTGTTCTGCTTGTTTCTGATTTGACTGTTCAAGTTGTGTTACTGTAGAATAATTAGACTGGTTAGTGGGTAGCTAAACTCTTAGACTAAAAGAAAATGAGGGAGTAGCCATTCATAAACCACACAAATGTAACTCTGTCAAATATTTTTAGCAGAGACTCTACAAGTGAATGAGAGCTTCTTTCTGTGGAACTGAGGTGAAGAACTTCGCCATGGGTCAACAAATTTCAAACCACACACAAACTGTAATTAACAAGTTGCCAGAAAAAGTAGCAAAGCATGCCTCTTTGGTTCAAGAAAGTGGTTTCCTAACGTATGAAGAGTTTCTGGGAAGAGTAGCTGAACTTAATGATGTGTAAGCCTTACTTTGTTTCCTTCTTTTTTTCATTCTTTACAGAGACCTTGTATGCAATGTATTCTCCTGTGCTGGCTAAGCCAGAACTAGCCATCTGGTTTTGAAATTTCCTTCAGTTCTTAAAATTTCTATAATGGTTGTAATTACACTTCAAAAACAAAGCCATTTCTCCTCCTTAAATTCACTTTTCTCCAATATTCTTCTTCCAGCAAGCATTGCTTCTCTCTTAGAACTTCACAAGAGGTAGATGTTCAGCAGTATGTTTTTGTTAGTGTTACCTGTCTCCCTTACTCTTCCCCCCTCCACCAACCACCTAAAGATGCAGTGCCGCTTCCTCTCTGCCCGTCACTTTTGGTAGGTGTTGTGGTTTAACCTCAGTTGGCAACTGAGCACCACACAGCCGCTCGCTCGCTCCCC